TCTTCTCATGAAGAAAAGAGTCAATTCGAATGTATTTCAGTTTTGTTTGAACCATCATTATTTAATTCTTCCTATAATGAGTAGCATTATCACTATTATTATTATTATTATTATTATTATTATTATTATTATTATTATTATTACCGTGATTGCTGTTAGTTACACGACTCATTACTTATAATAACGAATTAATACTTCCATAATTAATACCAAACAGCAGTCAAACATGTAAGTTACAAAAGACTTCACTTATTCCCCTTAATAAAAAAGTAAACAGATTAACATTTCATAAAAATGCCTACTTATAATAATCTTTTGTCTTTTCAAGTCATGTCATTCATTTTCATATTCATTTCGTTATATATATATGCAATATAGTGAAACTATTGTCAGTTTTTATCGGCTTACACTATACATTATTCTCTTTTTTTATTGCCGACACTTGTCTTAGGTGAAGTACACTTTAAATTATTTACAAATAAGGGATAGGGAAGTCGTCAGCCGGGACACTCAATCAACTGAATAGACGCGTAATATTTTCAAATAACTGGCTATAATTTTTTTTGGAAAATATTCATTTATCTTATTAATTTACTTAACAGAATTTACTTATATATATGCGCCTATGTAAGTTATACAACAGTTATGCAATAACTGTTCTGTCAAGGAAAATAATCTTTAGATGAATATAATATTTTCAGAAGGGGTTTGTGGAGATTTTTAGAAATTTCACAGATTGAAATCATGAGTCAACTGAAGCTAGACCACTGCTGAGGAGTCCCATACTAGGACGAAACGGCCGTCCAGTGCTTCTAGGTTTTCCATGGTGGTCTAGCTTCAATTGATTCATGATTTCAATCTGTGAATATAATATTTATAATGAATATTTGAATTTTCAGTATAAAATAGATCGAAGACGAATAAACTTGCTTTGCATGAGGTTTTTTTCTTTCTTGATCTCAGGTAAATATCGATCGTGTAAATAGTAAGTAGCAACTAATTAGATTAAATGTTAAATCTCCTGCTGAGCACCTTGTATCAAATTTGTTAATAACAGTAATTAACTTATGGTCAATGTTTGTATTGCATTGCTTGGTTAATCTCGATCAATGATTATATTACGATTGTCAAAAATTATACTCTTAAGATTGTACAGCTTAAGATAATTAAGCATTAATTTTAAGAAAACCAAAGGGATTTACTTGATAATGAAACAGAATGAAAACGATTTAGTAAAGAAATGGTAAATCTTGAGTGAATGACACTGCCTGAAAGAAACTTCTATTTAATGAACTGTCTTTATTTGCCTTATAATAGATGGTGTATTATTTGTTATCGTAATAAATTAGCAATGGAATATCAAATCATATTGTAAATGACTTGGGTTTAATTACTCGTTGCGGACAATATAAAGACTCCTTATTAATCAGTGCTGGGATGGTAAATCATTCATAATGGATAGCAACATATGATTTTTCTATGATATTATAATGTTCATCTGGAAATATATATGATGGACGAATGATTCTGCACCCGAAGTGAGACATGAAAGTTATGGGTTCACATTATTAAACAATCTGAAACTGGAATTAAACAGTTATTCAGTATTGACCAGTTTCTTTGTTTGTTATCCAGTTAATATGAGTTCATTATGAAAATGGCTTCCATAATGTTTTTTTATAAAACTTTACAAAATAAAAATGATTCACCTATTTATTTAATGTTCACATGTGTATACTTCATTTGTAAAACTATCTAGTTGATTATTACTACTTTGGACATTTACCAGTAATATTACAGTTTAAAATTTAATAATTATTCATTAATCATAATTCCAGTTAGTTACTAGCATTGGAATCCATAAAGACCACTTTGTTATACTTGATACTTATTAGCTGGACGTAGACACCGTCATTCCAATCTATTTGTTCAAATTGAAATTCGAACACAGTATATATCACATCACGCTTTAGTTACCCAGCATTGTTTAATAAGCATGATATTTATTATTAGTAACAAGATTTAGTAATTCATTCGTTATTTATATCTAGAATTGGATTTGATCTAATTCAACTGGCATTTAGGCTTCTTAGATATTTTATTATTATTATTATTATTATTATTATTATTATTATTATTATTATTATTATTATTATTATTATTATTATGGGCTTTATTCAATATTATATGTTTGGTACAATATAGGATTCTCAGCACAAAGTATTCCAACAAGTTTCCTTATTTATTGATCAACCCTTGCGATAAATATTGAGTGGTCTCCAGTTAGATGTTAGCAGTTCAGGAATCGACATCTGATTAGTCTATATTCTTTCCGATGCATATTACCAGTAACCACGATGTCTATGATTGGGTTCTTTTGTAATTTGTAAAACGAAATGTCGTGAACTTTTCACAAACGCACCTAAATAAGTTATGCGATCATTTGGTATAATGATGTGTTAAAACAAACAAGAAAACATATGACTTGTTAAAAGATCCAAATGGCAGGAACAGGTAGCCCAGATATTTAAGCAGGCCGCCTTTCAATATATTCTCTTATATAAATTAAAGTTTTAGTGTTAACTTCAACATTGGTAATGTATATGTATCCAACTGAATGGTCTTAAATACAACTCAATATATATCCCGAAATCCACTGAAACTTATTTATTTACTTACACCTGTTATTCCTCGTAGAAGAGCATAGGCTGCTCAGCAACAAAATCCATTGAAAACTAATATACAAAAAAATCTTATAAGATTTTATTTTATTAGCAATATTTCAGTACATTCATTCAAGAGGTGAATCCATCAACAATGAGTCAATACATTAATACCAAGAGGAAAGTATAAACCCTTATGAATAATAATAATAATAATAATAATAATAATAATAATAATAATAATAATATGTCATTCTTAAGCTTAATTAATTAGTAGCTTCATACTTTGATAACATGATAAAGTTATTGCATAACTTCGTTATTTTTTTATAGAAAACAAAAGAAGTAACTTGTTTACACACCTACAAACTGTAATTGTAATGTACTTCAGCACTAACACAAATATTATTACCTTAAAGAATATATATATATATATATATATATAAATTATTTTTTCTGATGGAATTCCACTGAATACTTCATTTTAAGTACAAAAACTTGTAAAACATTTCAACTTTAACTTTTAAAAATGTCACATTTGAAACATTCAACAACAGCGACAGCAACAGCAACAACAACAACAACACCAACACCAACAAAGATGCACAACATTCAATGAAGAATAGTTTATTTTATTTGTATGACGGATAGCAACATAAATCATATGATTTATTGAAACTAGTCGGTTATTATTTGAAAGAGAACAATTACCTTAATGAGATAGTATAATTGTATATTGAAATCTTTAAATAGATAGATAGAGAGATAGTAGAAAAAAAATTTACTGTTTAATGCTCAAAGATTCTTCGATAGTAGATATAAGATGAAATTGTTTATAATAAAGAAGTGACAAATTTATAATAATCTTAATCATAAGTCATAAGGTGCTAATGGAATAAGTATAACTTGAAGTTAATAGTAAATATTGTGTTCTTTGTGATATTATGGGACAAATTCCGAGTAATAATTATTATTCATTGAAATTATGAACCAATTGGTGGTAGGCCACCATTGAAAATCTGGAAGCATTGAATAGCCCTTTCATCCTAGAATTGGATCATTCAGTAGTACGCGCCCACGACTTTGCACACTTAGCTCAATGATATTCCAATAGTAGGTGTAGTTATATTTTAATGAAGTGACAAAAAAGTTACATTTTAATAAGGTTAATCATAAGTTTTAAGTCAGAAGTTATGTAATAAATTTGTTTTTGTTATTTACAGATATCATTGTGTCTATGAACAATATATTCATGAGATTGACTTTCTAGTTCATGCTTTTATTACTTAATGAGTAATAAAGTTTTAGAAGATTTCGATTAAGATTATGACAAAAGTACAATGAATGACAATAAGAAAAAACAGGAAACTCTACAATATCAATACTTCTCTTATCTTGTAATGTCTCATACTTACTTCCTTACTTACGCCTGTTACTCCCAATAGAGCATAGGCCGCCGACCAGTATTCTCCAATTAACTCGGTTCCGGGCCTTCCTTTCCAGTTCTATCTAATTTTTCTTCATTTTCCTCATGTCTGTCTCCATTTCTCGACGTCTTGTGTTCTTTGGTTTAATAATGATGTATATTTGAATTTTTTCAAAATAGGAACAATATGTTTTAACTAAATTTGTAAATAACCAAATACCATTACAAGATAATTTAATCTAATTACTCCAATCTGAAAATGACTAAAGTTTGGATATTTTACTATCCTTCGTTCTTTATATGTATAATAAATATTTGTTCTCATTATACTAAATAGTTATTCTTAGTGACTGATGTAGACTTAATAATATTTGAAGCTCATATATTGTACAGATAACATTGTAATTCGCCGATCAATAAAAGTTTATCAGAAGGGGTTTGTGGAGATTTTAGAAATTTCACAGATTGAAATCATGAGTCAATTGAAGCTAGACCACCATGGAAAACCTGGAAGCACTGTGTGGGACTCCTCAGCAGTGCGCATCCAAGATCCCGCACCCCGCGAGACTCGAACCCAGGATCTATCAGTCTATCGCCAGGCGCTTAACCAACTAGACCACTGAGCCGTCATCCAATGGTGTTAATGTCTAAATCCAACCAATCCACGAAGTTGCGCCACCGTACACCATTGTCTTCAGTGAGCTGATATCTCACAACAGACCTGGTTGAACTCCACTGGTAACGGCTTCTCACTAGAACTCCAGGAGTATCCCTTGAAGTCAGTCACTAGTGAGCAGATGATTATTATCAGAAGGGGTTTGACAGTTAGATCGAAATCTTATTTAAGTTATCGAAAATTCCTTTTTCGTTACTTATAAAACAATCTAAATGAGTGTATTAATAACCTTTGCTTGAAACTGATCTACAATTCAGTTAATGTTATTCTAAATTAGTTTGAAGCTACCAATTTCGCCAATACTTGAAAAGGTGATAGTATGCTAGTTGTCAAATAAATTGTTATCATTGACATTTTTATCAAAAAAACTTCAAATTCCATGAAACCATTACCAAAACGTTTAAACCTTAATTATAATAAAAGATCATGAATCGACTGAAGTTAGACATTCAGATTGTTGAATGCCGGTTCAGTGGTCTGAAGGTTAAGCGTTCGCGCACGAGATCTAAAATCCTGGATCCGTGTTATCCATGTGGGATTGTGTATGCGCACTGTTGAAAAGTTCCATACTACGACGAAACGGTCATCTAATACTTTCAGGTTTCTTAATGGTGGTCTAACTTAGATTGACTCATGAATTCAACTGTTTTAATAACAGTAATAATAATAATAGTTACATCTCGTTAACAATCAATTATATTAATTATGTAGTATAATGAATGTCAATTAAATGTCTAAAGTTATGAGTTCCAGTTTGTAGCTTCAATGTAATCTTCTAGAATCTTTTGGTATGTAAGTATATGGATATAATAAATTTATAAAATGACGAAACACTCATCTCATGAATATATATACTTGTTTACTAAGTCGTTTTGAGATCATCAAGACATCAACATCTGAAGGGAAACGCGGGATACAGTGGACTTCTACGATGCAGTTAGACGATCTAGACTTCGCAGATGATCTGGCCCTTCTATCCCAAACGCAACAACAAATGCAGGAGAAAACGACCAGTGTAGCAGCAGCCTCAGCAGCAATAGGTCTCAATATACACAAAGGGAAAAGCAGGATTCTCCGATACAACACAGAATGCACCAATCCAATCACAATTGACGGGGAAGATTTGGAAGATGTAAAAACCTTTACATATTTGGACAGCATCATTGATGAACAGGGTGGATCTGATGCAGATGTGAAGGCGCGGATCGGCAAAGCAAGAGCAGCATATCTACAACTGAAGAACATCTGGAACTCAAAGCAACTGTCAACCAACACCAAGGTCAGGATTTTCAATGCAAATGTCAAGACAATTCTACTGTATGGGGCAGAAACCTGGAGAACTACGAAAGCCATCATCCAGAAAATACAGGTGTTTATTAACAGTTGTCTACGCAAAATACTTCGAATCCGTTGGTCAGACACTATTAGAAACAACGTACTGTGGGAGAGAACAAACCAGATCCCAGTGGAGGAAGAAATCAGTAAGAAGCGCTGGAAGTGGATAGGATACACATTGAGGAAAGCACCCAACTGCGTCACAAGACAAGCCCTCACATGGAATCCTGAAGGTCAACGGAAAAGAGGAAGACCAAAGAACACATTACGCCGGGAAGTGGAAATAGACATGAGAGAAATGAACAAGACTTGGATGGAACTGGAAAAGAAGGCCCAGGACAGAGTGGGTTGGAGAATGCTGGTCTGCGGCCTATGCTCCATTGGGAGTAACAGGCGTAAGTAAGTAAGTAAGTAATATATAAATACATAGTGAACTCAAACTGTAGACAAAAAAGAAACGTGATTCATTTACAGTTGATAGTGTATTGATAAAAAATAAAAAAATGACTCAGTGTGATATGCCATTCATAATTTTAGACTGAATAGTATTTAATTGGATTGCACATTAAAACAAAAAGAAAAAGAGATACAAATACACTCGAACAGGATATACATGCATATCTATATCAGATATCATGAATTCTATCACTTTAGACTGTACCCGAAATAATAAAAAGGAACCTAATAATCATCAGAATATTTTTTTCTGTCTACAAATACATATGCATCAGTCACAAACAGACTACATCTAGATTTGCATTACATCAAAATGAAACAATGGAACAAATAAATGAATGCATGAATAAGTAAATAAATAGGTATCATTATATATATAACACACAAAATGGTTAAACAACACAAAAGCAACAATAAAAACAAAACAATAACATGATAACAATCAGGACATTTAGTAGTTTGAATTCAATCATTTCATTTAAATAAGTAAGTGAAAGTAGGTGTTTTGATAAATCACTCGATGTATGAGGAGTCCCATACTAGGACAAAACGACCGTCCAGTGCTTCCAGGTTTTCCATGGTGGTCTAGCTTCAATTGACTCATGATTTAAATCTGTGATATAAGTTAATTATTATTGGTTTCTTCAAGAAGGCAAATATATCTTCATGACTAGAGTCATCTCACATGAATGTTAGATTCATCGATCCCTCCATATTGCATTTAAACATCTAACTTTGAAATATAACAAACACAATGTGAATTTCCTTTAAATCAGTGACCACACTGTAACTTGATCGATAGAATCCGGTCATTATTAAGGATTAGGAGATATGGTACTTACCACTACTAAGCGGTTAATTTGGGTAGATTTAAAAGAAAGTCTGTGTTGTCCTAAGATCAGAGAACCATCAATCTCCCACTTACGAGATTGATTATTTTATTAGTCAGACTGACGACTTTATTAGGCTACCACCAATTAGAATCGATTTTCAGCTTACATTATTTCAGTTTTGTCCCTCAATTATAGTTTGGCTTATCTGAAACATTTATCAAAACTATTAAAACATTCAATCTTAATCATTGGGGTTCCCATGAATCTTTAATACAAAGATATCATTCACTACATTAAACAAATTGATGTCTAAGCTTCAGTGAATTAAACTAACATTGAATTTTCATATACTATTATAAGCTTAATTTAAATATTGTCTACAATTTATGTCATCTTGTTTTTATTCATTTTAAAATCCATTTGTTTAACTTTTGAATGATCAAATGGAAAGTATCATTGTATAATGTTAACCACTAGTTTAGTTGATCACTTATTTAGTTAGTTAGTATTGTACTCATGAACATGTGTTCTGTTGTATCTTAGTGACAAGAGCAATAGGGATAGGTGAAATGAACAAGAAGGATAATATAGGGTGTAGAGAAGAAAAAGAAAAAGAAGAAGAAGAAGAAATACAATTTATTATCAGTGCCGATAAAACAGTTAACTGATCTTTGAATTTCAATTTCTGTTCATGTTGTATATATGTATATGTTGGCATGTTAATTCTTAGCTAGGTTTGCATATAATCAGTATACAACTTTAAAAATTCTTCTGAGGTCTTGTAATAATAACTCTGTATATATATATATATATATATATATATATATATATATATATATATATATATATATATATATATATATATATATATATATGCTTAATTTTTCACACATCCGTTTGCTGACAAAAATGACAAGCAATATGATAAATACGCCGCTCAGCTTTTTCAATTATATAGACAAACATATGTATATATATATCTGCATACCAAAGTGTGTATCCATATTCTAATTAATAATTCCTTCCGTTTTACCTTTTCAAAGTAATATAATGTACTATTATTATTATTATTATTATTATTATTATTATTATTATTATTACCATTATTGTTATTAGTGTACTGTTAGACACCGACATATGAAATAGTGTTTAGACTAAAAATGATCAGTACAGATGGGATATACCAAATCATTTACATAGATTTATTTTTGCATATTAATATTACTTTCATTATTATTATTATTATTATTAAAGTGGATAAGAGGAGTGGAATAAGTTAAGACATGAAATGATTAAAAAAAGTATATATTAATACATAATTATTGATGAGACCAAGTAGAGATGAAACAAGAATACATGCTTATTGAGATCATACATTTAGACAGATAGAAAAAGTATATATAGTGTACAACTGATGACGATGATGATGAGGAGGAGGAGGATAATGATAGTGAAGGTTGATTAGTTAGTTGGTTTGTTGATTAACTGGGTGGTTGGTTGGTTTGTTGGTAAAGAAAAAATATATATAATTAGTCTTTTAAAGTAGGTTAGTTCGCATTTCCGGGCTTTCAGTGGAATTAGACAATTTCTCTTTATACTATTCAAGATTTTCTTTTCATTTGTCATGATTTAAAAGTTGATAAAATCTTTATATGAAGTCTTGATGGGCTTCTTTTTTCTATTATTTTACTTATAGTCTTATTTAAATTTATTCTTTTTTTAATTGAATAGTAATAATGATACGAATTTCAAGACATTTACTTTGTAGGAAGTATAATGATATTTCTATTAATTGTTAATAACTTATAAAAGCGAGAAATTAAAGGGAACAAATTATAGAGAAAACAAGACTATATAAACGTTGGCTAGTTGCAAATTTTATTTTATTAATTTTCATTATGAGGGTTGGTTAATTAGTTAGTTGATAGAGTAGTAACTTAATGGTTATAAGGTTTAGCTATCATCAGCCAAGTTGCAGGTTTAAGCTACGCTCACTCTGTAGGGAACGAGAATATGATGGGTGGGGACAATTAAATACATTTTGCTACAACATTACAGAATGTCTTGGTAAAATCTGGGAACCATAAAGTAAGTAATACTTCATTTGCAAAATATACATCAATTTTCTCTGACTTGACTGTTCCTTCGTTTTCATACTAATAATTCTCTGTTCTCGTTCTTCTCTCTTCAATTTTCTTAACTTTCTTCCATCAGGCATTTCATTTTCGATTGGTGATACATACTATTTATATTTGTCAACATCAATTTGAGGAACCGAGTAGTATCGCTATCCTTCCTACTTAGAATGTAGATAGATGCAAAATATATGAGTCTATGTATTGTAAATGAACAGATAAGAATGGCTGGGATGACAACTCCATTTTAGTCAAGCGTTACTCAATATTTATAGTCAGACAAAATAAAGCTACAGACATGTGATTAATGGAATAAGAAGGGTACACACATATACGCTCATATAAAAACAGTCAAGGCTAATAAGCGAATAATTAACAAGCTCAAAATATGACTCAAGTAGAATGAATAAAATGGGATGTCCGAAAGCTAGAATAAGGTATATGGGCTTGGCATAATAACTGACACTACAATCTTAACCAGATAAATAACCAGGCCTTTCTATTTATACAGTCTATTTGTTTAAGCATTAAGCTTAATAATTGAATCAGTTGAATTGTTTAAGTCTTTTACACTAAAAATTGATAGATAAAATAATATAGTTCATGAGTAGGCTATAAGCAAAAAACTTATAATAGACACACTACAAATAAGTATATTATACCACTTCTCTTCATTCATAGGAATTGAACAACATTTTAAATGAATATAAGCTTTTAGGTGATTGGATGTATAAGATATTAGAAATGATTGTATATTTATTTATGATGTAACAAAGGGGATTATTTTTTAAACACTAATATATGAACGAAGAATATTCTTAAATGCACTTGATGGTGTTTTACTTGTATTTTCCCATTGTCATTTAGGACTTCAACTGATCAGTCTCATGTTGCCATATGTGAATCCTTTGGGGATTGCCTCGATATAGGCTTAAGTCACAAGCATTTAAAGCAAAGATGGATAGCAGTAGAATCCAGGACGCGCTTTTCGTCCTATTAGGGACTCGTCAGCCGGATGTACCCGCATGTGTTGATGTTCACTCTAGGGCTCGAACCTAGTACTGTTCGCTTCAAACACCATCGCGTTATTCACTTTGAAGAGAACGGTACTTTATTGTTTATTCCTTCAGAATGTTTTAAATTTAGCCTACCCTCATCATTTTCATATTGTACTTCGACTGCTCTATTGTTATTTTTGGCAGTAAACGTTGAGGATAAGAGAAATTCAATCAGAAATGAGCAAAGTTCTTCAAGATTAAGTAGCATATATTGAGATTTAGAATGCTTTCCACTTAATAAGGTTGATTAGACTTAACGACGAAAACACCATAAAATACTAGAGGCTATGTTTAAAACTACGTGGTACAGATTAGAATTTAGAGTTGGTATTACGTTACATTTCGACTTAACTTACTACCTTTTATCCTTAATCTTAATCCAAATTCAAACCCCTTAGACTGAGCATCTTAACACTAAATCTTATGTCATGAATCATAATTCTTAGGTCTAAATCGTAATCTAACTATTAGTTATCACTCATTCATTCTTGACTATTTTCTAATTGGCTAATTATGAACAAAAAATTTTCAATAAAATTTAAACATTCTTGATTGAAATCATGAATAGATCAATGTTAGACCACCATTGAAAACTTGGAAACACTGGAGGGCCGATTCTTCCTAATAGTGCAAACCCACGAACTTGAACATTGGATTCGAATCTATGTTATTCGATCTCGCGTGCAATCACTTACATTCGACCTTATTCTTAATATTTACCACTCAATTAATTTCTTCTATTATAAAATATGTTCCTTTAACCAGATTCTTACTGTTTATATCAGTAGTATAATATTATTTATGAATTGATTGTAATCTATCTTCAAGACATCATGTTACTGACTATGTTCATTCACGAAATAGAAATTTAATTTCTTTTTATTTAGTTCCCTTTACTTACTTACTTACTAACTTACTCCTGTTACTCCCAATGGAGCATAGGCCGCCGACCAACATTCTTCAACCAACTCTGTTCTGGGCCTTCATTTCTAGTTCTATCCAATTTTTGTTCATTCTTCTCATGTCTGTCTCCATCTCTCGGTGTAATGTGTTCTTTGGTCTTCCTAGTCTCCTTTGACATTGAGGATTCCATGTGAGGGCTTGTGTTGTGACTCAGTTGAGTGCTTTCCTCAATGTGTGTCCTATTCAATTGCAACGCCTCTTTCTGATTTCTTCCTCCACTGGAATCTAGTTTGTTCGCTCCCATAATAAGTTGTTGCTAATATTGTCTGACCAACGGATTCGAAGTATTTTGCGCAGACAACTGTTAAGAAACACGTGTATTTTCTGGATGATGGCTTTCGTAGTTCTGCAGATTTCCGTCCCTTACCGTAGAACTATCTTGATATTTGTATTGGAAATTGTGACTTTGGTGTTGGTTGACAATTGTTTTGAGTTCCAGAATTTAGTTTTCGTCAGCTCAATAATAATAATAATAATAATAATAATAATAATAAAAGTTCAGTTAATTAAAACATTGTTACTCCATAAATCATACAACTATTTTGATAGACATTTTATGTTTATTCATACTTCCTTTTAATCTCTTCT